GCGTCTGGCTTATCCCTCCTCTTCGAGTTTGTAATCATTCACCCAGGTCAAATACATGGCATAGCCATTTCCTTTTTCCTCCGAACTAAACTTCTAAGATTCAGAATCTTAGGGGAAAAAAGTAGTTAGGACCACAATACAGTTTTTCATATTTTTAAATAATTTTAAAAAGAAATAATTATTCCACTGTTAAATAAAGTAATTAGTGAGGAAACAAGTTTAATTGTCAACATAGTTTTATACAGGAAATACCAGCTTCAGAAACTTGTTTAACCCATTCTTTGGGAGCTTGATTTTCATCCATTGTATCAGACTTGTAACAACAACAAAATTTTTTTAAAGAAAAAGATAAACCCCAAATCTGCCACCCTGATCAGGTCCTTTTCTCCCCCTGTTCTCATTAAGCCATCATTCATGAGGATGCCTAGTGCTGCAAATTCTAAAAATGCAAATACATTTTCAGTCACTTGCTTTCACTCAATATTATATTACAAATATTTTCCCTGTTGAACATAGTTTTAAATAGCCTCATTAAAATATCACTAAAATATGATTTCATAATATTTTTAAGTAAATGTAGCATAATTTATACAATCTTTACCAACATTTGTTAGAAGTTTGTGCTGGTTTTAGTCTTCTGTCATATTTAATCATTTCCTCACAGTGACTGTCTTTCAGAATAAAAGTCCAGAATTTGATGTCATTTTTTTCAGAATACAAGCTGAACTGGGGCAGATTCTTTGCTTGCAAGCTCTCTGAAAGTTACAAAATAATTACAGTGATTATTCTCAGAAGAAAAAAATGTGAAAGATCTCATAGACTGGCCAGAATGACATGTAACAGAATGGTGGAAAATGGGCAGATATTATTCTTTATCTTTCTTAGAAAATAAATAGCAAAATAAAGAATACTAGGAGAAACAGGCAGATGTCTGTTTTATCACTAAGGAAAACAACAACTTCATGTTGGAGTAAGAGGAAGAAAGCTCACAGAGCGGAATCCGGGAGATGTAGAGGCAGGGATATGGTGTCTTTTTTTTCCTTTCCTAACTAATGGTTCTGGGAACTTAGAGATGTTTACTGGAAAAGGGAAGTTTTAGCTAGAATAAAGGCTGGAAAACCTTTGACACCAAATATACCCCCAGTTTTTTATACAAAGGGATCCAGGGCTTTTCCATAAGGATAAGCATAAGGACAAAATAAGGACTGAACCAGGAAAGATAGAGATGAAAAGTGATTTAATTCTGCCCACCATTCTCCATCCTAACCAGTGATGGTCTCCCCCTTCCTTGGCCTGGATGACTATTAGAAATTCTTGGGGAGAGGGCATGTGCTTAGCATGCACAAGGTCCTGGGTTCAATCCCCCATACCTCCATAATTAATTAATTTTAAAAATTTAATTACCTTCCCCCTAAAAAAATTAAAAAAAAAAAGAAAATTCCTAACTGCTTGCCCCACCTTCTGCCTCACCCCCACCAATCCATACTGTACACTGCAGCAGCTTAACCTTCTTATATCACCCATGATCTGGATCCTGGTACCTCTCCAGCCTCATTTCTGCCCTCCACACCCTGTCTCTCCATCCCCACCATCACCATCACACCAGATACACCAATTTATCCGTTCTTAAAACACACCAGATCTTTCTCACCTTGGGCCTTCGTGCATGTTTCTCTCTCTGCCTAAAGCACTAATTCATTCGCTAGGCTACTTTCTATTCATTTTTCAGGCCTCAGTTAAATGTTACTCTTTCACAGTAAATGACTAAAGCCTCCCTTAGTCATCAAGGCTGAGTTCTCTGATAACACATTATATGTCTTTCATTAAACATTTATCACTCACTGTATTATAATTGCCTGTTTCACTTATATCACTACATCAGTAAGCGTTAGTGTTCAAGGGCCTTGTTCATTTTTGTACCATATTGTCTGGCATACTTCCTGACACAGGATAAGGATCAATATAATATCATCTATGTTATTAAAGCTATTAAATACAGTCATAATACTTTACCATAATGTCTGAATTATGTTACTAAATATGCCATTATTTCCTGGGTGAAATCTAGGTTACGTTAATAGAAAACAAGGAATTATCATTAATTCGTGCTAAGAAGAGAAGTGACGAACTAGGTTTAAGCAACATTTGGTTCATTCAAGCAAATATGGAGTATTTTACAGGGATGTTTAATATTGGGGTAAGTAATCGAGCAATTTCAATTTCCTTAATTACTAAATAAGAAAAATGATATGCCTTAGAGTAAATAAAGGAGGTAAATCTATATTTTTGCTAAACAACGAATTTATAACTTTTGTTTTCTACTGTCTATAAAGTATAGCATATTAATGAATATTACTGTATTCATAGCACTTCATCATTACATGGTAAGGACAATATTTGTTCCTCTACCAGATAAGAACCTGATTTTCTTCACTGCAGAATCCCCAGTGCCCAAAACAATGTTTGACACATAGCAGGCACTTAAAAATAGTTATTAATTGAATGATTTATTGAGTGAATTCTAATGAAGATGACTTCCCTTGGTTTATTCCATATTTTTAGAAGATAATGAAAGAAAAGAAAAAGAGACTATAATAGAAAAAAACAACTTGTTAATAACCTGTAAAAACTAGAGTTGCTTTTAGATAATACTTTCTTTAGCAAGAATTTGAGATCTACATGTATTTTTTGCTTCTAGTTGCTAAATATATATTATATGTAAATATAATATATTCCAGTATATTGGTGATGTTTCTGAAACCTTCAGATTAAATCGTTATTGTTTGATATTACTAAAAAGACCAAAGATAATGTGATTCTGTCAGCTCATTTAAACCCAGAGTTATATGCTGTGGTGGAACTTTAGCATTGCTGCTGTTCTTGTATTTGTTTCAAATGATTTTTATAAGACTTATTTCTATAAGACTAAATGCTCAAAATAGAAAAATACATAATAACATAAAAAAGAATCACTAGTATTTCTGCTAGTGAGAGATAAATACTGTTAAAACCCTTTGGTCTTTATATATTTATACACACAAACAAATGCATATTTACATATGTTAACATTGTTGAGATCATACTGCATCAATCCTGTTTTACCTGAAATTGTCATACTTTCCCTATTCATTGATCATATTTCTTTTTTGTTGTTGTTAGTATATTGTAATTATTACTATTATGTATATCTTATGCATCATTTAAGACTTTTGGTAACTTTGCCTAATCACTTTCCAGGAAGCTGGTGCTAATTTGCATTCCCAACTGTGTATGTTCATGTAACTTACACAATAGGCTTGTATAGGTGGAATTCTTGTCCAGTTTCAGAAGCTCAGACCTTTTGTCCAATGAAGTTCATTTCTTAAATATCAACAACTGCAAATTTGTGGAGTTTGTTGTCATTTTTATGGCCTAAACATATACAATTTATTTCTTTTGTAGACATGATCTAGATTGATTATCTCAAGCCAAGCTTATAGAAAGAGAAGTAAACTATTAAGAAAACTGTTAATTAGGATATTCAGGAAAATACAGACATCTGATATAGCAAATTCAAATTAAATATATGTTTATTTGCAGCCTACAGTTTACATAAACGCCAAGGTTAAGGATAAATCTTCTCCCACAAAATGAGCCATTAAACGAATGCTCATGTTACCAATACACCAGGCAGAATGTAATAGTGCTGCCTGTTTACCCACCTCTCAGATCACAAAATTCCCAACCCGTCAGCCATGCATCTCTTTACCTGCCTGTGACTTAAAGGTGCTAAATCATTCTGGCATATTCTTGTACCTTTCAAGGTCATATAATTCACTAACTCCAGCTAACAATGTATATGTCTTTTGGGAAGTAATATTTCCTCTTATATTTCATAATAATATATCCATAATGGTTTTTTTCTTTCATAATTACCTTTGTCAAGATATATGGAAAATGAATTAAAATTACTTGAAGAATTAAACTGAAATGAGGTTTACTCTCAAGAGTATAATTTGCCTAGGAGGATAATTGAAGTTTTGTCACTAGATAAATCAAACTAAATGCACCAGTGACTCGATAACTCTTGTATTAAATAGATTCCAGTGAAAATACTGTAGCTAGAGTGCAAATCAGAATAACCAGGTATTGGAAATGCATTAAAACTCCATAAATTCACATTTTTGTGGTATTTCAAGTAAGGGTTTAGCTAGCATTTATCTTTGCTTATTAGTAAATGCCTTTTTCTTTCACTATTTTTCTTTAGATATAAAAATTAATGATGTAAACAAGATTTTAAGGGGGGAATTTTAAAGTTTTGAACCAACTATCTTTAGGAACTTTAAACAAACCAATTCCATATAAGAATTGAAATACTAATTATTGGTCTTATCTCTGTTAGTACAACGTATCAGGCAAAAATGAATAGATTTACTGACTTTTGTTAAACTAGTTTGATTTGAAATAATGGGAGAGAACAAATCTAATTATTTTCAGATTTTTCAGCAAGGTCTTCCATTACCCCCACAGGCTATGCTTTCCCCATATAACCAGAATCAATTAGGTAATACTGGGTTCCAAAGAGTTATTTTGTAGTTTCTGATTTACACTGTGCTTATTTGAGAAATACATTTCTTTAGAAATACAGATGTCTAATAAGCTTATAAAAACATTCAAAGTCTGTAGTAACCAAAAGCATTTCAACTTGAACAATAATGATATTCCATTCTTGCTCTTAATATTTGCAAAGATTTTTAAAATATTATTACTCATTGATTGCAAGACTTCAGTAGGGTGAGGGGGTTAATCATACAGGAGCTTTGAAATTTTTCATTTACATGATATTTGTAATGATTTATTAATAACATGAAATGTTATGGTAAACAGAGAAAATAATTAAACATAATGGTTAAGAGTATGGATTTTAACATTGAGTTTAATTTGTGCTAAAGAAAGCCTTAGCTTAGCCATTTACTAGTTGTATGACCTTGGGCAACTTATTTAAACTCATTGATCCTCGGTCTTCTCATCTATGAAATAGGTGTAAAATATCTGGCTCTTAGGATGTTGATACAATGTATGTGAAGCACTTAGCAGATTTCCTAGCATTTAGGAAGTACCATATTAAAAAACTGGGCCCCTTTTTACTCTGTGCAGTGCAATCTCAACCATATGAAAACTGCATTAAAAAGGATTGGAGGAAATTATGCTAATAGTTATTTTTTTCAGGTGGCTGTCTCTATATACTTTGTAATAATATTTTTCTTTATCCAGAATTTTCAAAAATTCCACATTTAACATACTACTATTTTATCATCATAATAATATAAGCAATAAAAATAGAAGAAATAAATATGTGTGCTTAATATTTTATAGATAAATACCTAGCTTATTTAACCAAGAAAGGCTAATAGGACCCTAAGGGTTACCACCAGGTATCTAAAAGAATTCTGAAAATAGTGTGTGTATATATTTATACACACACACACACATATGTATATGATTTCTTTCAAAACAAGTATTTGATTATTATAGAAATACCTTTTGATTGGCTTACTCTGATTTTGATTATAATGACTATTAATGTCCTAAGGAAAATATGAAAGTTTTTTCAAAATTAAGAAACATCCAAGAAAGTTTGTTTTTTCCTTCGAGTTTCAATACCTGTAGCTATATGACCCTGAATTGAGTATGTGTTATGAATTGAATGTTTGTGCCCTTCCCCCACCCTGCCCCATAAAAAAAGAATGTATATGTTGAATTCCTAACCCCTAATGTGATGATATTAGGAGGTGGGGCTTTTGAGAGGTAATTAGGTCATGAGCGTGGAGCTCTCCTGAGTGGAATCAGTGCCCTTATAAGAAGAGAAAAGAGCTTGCTTCCTCGCTCAGCTTTCCATCATGTGATAACTGGCCAACTGCAAACTCACCATCAGAACTGCCAGCACCCTAATCTTGGACTTCCCAGACTTACAACTGAGAGGAATAAATGTCTGCTGTTTAAGCCACCAAGCTTATGATAATTTTTTAAGAGATATATATCAATTATCATACCCTTAAAGGGTAACTTAGAAGATTGCTTTAAAAGTGGACTTTTTAAGGCTTTTTCTTTAAAGAAGTCTATTATTGCCTTCTTGTCTAGCGCAAGATAAATAATTTTTATTATTGTTAAAGCTTACTTTACAAGATTTTACTTTTTAAGACCTAATTTATAATGTGTTATTATTGATACCTATGCTCTCAAACAATATAACAGAAACCTTGTTGTGAAACAGTATTACTGAAAGACCCATGACTATGGAAAGACACACTTTGCATTAAGAAACAAGAGCTGTGTCAATGCTAAACAACCTGCCCACCAAAATGTTTCAGTTGGATAACTTCAATAGTAACATAGACTCATCTCAACCAGGTGACGAGGCATTGATTTCTAACAGTATTGGTGAATATTTTCGATTTATCAACATATATCAAGATCTCTAAAAAGTTTATTTTTGAGTTCTGTATTTACTTTTTTATTTTTTATCCATACAATTTTAATATGATTGTTTATGGTTTATCAGTGCTGAGTGCTTAATTACAAGCTCACTTCTAGTTAATGTGTATTAGTGTACAATTAGAAGCAACATATGCAATTGTAGAAGATAATTCAGTAACATTTTTGATGAATGATTTAAATCTTTGTTTTAGAAGCAAAGGAACTTGAGAAATTATATATTCTGCAAACACAATTTTTAAAAAATCTTTAGGGCAATGAAGGACTTCCCAGGTGAACATGGCAGATAGAGATATTTCAACTCTCTTCTCCTCAAGAAAGATCAGACCCCCAAATAACAAAGAGAACAAGAACCAGAAAATCATATTCCGTCTTTGATGAAGCAGTGTTCAAGGTTCTGTAACTTGAACTACAGTATTTGAAGACAGAATGAAGACTGAAGAAATAAATTATTGAGTAGAGAAGAGGAAGATCACCCTTAAATGCCTGGTGAGAGGGAGTGTCAGGAGGGCTAGCAGGAAGCAGGTCACTTTGCTCTCGCAGAATCCCAGAAAATTTCAGGACTTCAGGACACCAGACACCTCAGATGAAGGGGGTAAGAAGGAGCTGAAATCATGTTTAATTAAAATTTTTATTTAGAGACCCAGATGCCCACCCCCACCTTGTGTAGACAAGTGACTGTTTCCCCCTGATTCCTGCAAGAGGCCAAAAGTTTATTCTATA